GCATAATAATTTACAGGGAGCAGTACTCTGCTCAACAAATTGCTTTCTTCACTCAGGTACTCAAAGATTGATGGAAAAGCGCTTCTATTAAAATTAAAATGTTAAATTTGGAAAGAGATTAAGTAATATTAAATACCTCTTACAAAAACCTCTTTCTGCAATGTTTAAGTTGAACTATAAGATTTTTGGCACAAATTATGTGATTTGATAAGAAGTAGTCATTTAATATAATTAGCTATAAGTAAATTCATTAATTCTTTGTAATTTCGGAGGCAGGATACTATCTTTATTAACAGCATCTGTCATGATGTCTTTGTAGTTTCATGTTGGCAGAAGGTAATACTTTCTCACAGAACTTAATCTTCATCTCCAACATTTTACTCAGAACATCTTTTTGCATTGTCATAATTTATATAAAACTGTTTCTATATGTGTTTACTCAGTCTGCCTTTCCATATGATTGTTTAGGGTTTGCAATATTTTTGTATTTTTAAGAGATGATAAACTCTTTTTTCCTCTCATCCCTTTAGATAACTTCTTCTCGAATCAGTTTCATTTTAGATAATGCACCCCTTCTTAGAGTGTAACTTACCTTTCTTATAGAGTCTTTTTTACTATATTATATAGAACTGGCATATTTTACTAGCTGTTTCTGTTATGATTTGTTTAAGACTTATTTGGTTATTTTCTTCCATCTCTTTAGGAAATAAAAGATGATTATGTGTTTGAATGTGAAGTTGGTAATCAGCTTCAAAAAACAAAACTGACCATTTTTCAGTCTCTTGGCAATCCCTTGTACTATGGTAAAATTCAGACACTCAAAGGTGATGAGGAAAATGACAGCCTAATAACTCCATCACAGTAAGTTACATGTTCTTTTAAACTGTGCTGTGATCTGATAGGTGAAGGAAGACAAACATTGCTTATCACTTTCAGTCATAAAAATATTCCAGAGCTAGAAATCTGATTTAAGAGTTTTGTTTGAAAAATTCAGCTAATGAACCTAAAATTTTTTTGACAAAAAAAAAAAAACAACCAGAACAAAATGTACTCAAGCGACCATCGTATCTTCAATGTATTTTTATGTTAAATCTGCATTTTTTTACATTAAAGATACATCGTAAAAAAAAAAAAAAACACACAACACACACACCAAAAAAACCCCAAAACCCAAACAACAAAAAAACTGCAATCCACTCAAATTGTGGAGACACTATGAGACATTGTTCGCACTTCTTCCGATATTACTCATAATTTAGCTTGTTGTCAGAATTTGCCTGATGATGTGAAAACATAAGACTTGGTTATATTATGTTTGCCCTTATGCAGAGAAATTTAGGCTAAATAAATGAAGAAGAAAAACATGAGCTCCTAAGAAGCTTTGTCATTTGAAATTGTTTTGAACCTGCTATTGTTGGCTGTGGTTCTACAAAGATTCTCTGTCCTTGGCTCTTTTTGTTGTAAGTACAGGTTCTTTGTATGGAGGAACCTGTGCAGCAGAGCAGACCTTGTAAATTTCAGTAAGGCATGGAGCAGTGAGGCTGAGCAGACTTTTTAGTTCACATACACAGAATCACACAGAATTGTTGGGGTAGGGAGGGCCCTCTGGAGATCACCCAGTCCAACCCCTCTGCCAGAGCAGGGTCACCTACAGCAGTTGCACAGGAACATGTCCTGGCGGGTTTTGAATATCTCCAGAGAAGGAGACTTCACAGCCTCTCTGGGCAGCCTGTGCCAGTGCTCTGCCACCCTCAAAGTACAGAAGTTCTTCCTCATGTTCAGATGGAAGTTCCTGAGTTTCAGTTTGTGCCCATTGCCCCTTAACCTGTTGCTGGGCACCACTGAAAAGAATCTGACCCCATCCTCTTGACACCTGCCCTTAATGTATTGATAAGTATTGATAAGATACCCTCTGTCTTCTCCAGGCTGAACAGACCCAGTTCCCTCAGCCTTTCCTCCCAAGGGAGATGCTCCAGTCCCCTCATCATCTTCGTTGCCCTCCGCTGAACTCTGTCCAGTAGCTCCTTGTCTTTCTTGAACCAGGGAGCCCAGAACTGGACACACTACTCCAGATGTGGCCTCACCAGGGCAGAG